TATATATATATATATATATATATATATATATATACATGAATATAAGCCTGGGGTGCGCGATAGACTTACCTCCACGTGGTGTACAATGAGCAACGTATGCTCATACGGCAAAAAACACTAAACAAGCAGTTGGCTTCTGATTTCAAATTACCATGACCCCACTGTAGATCATATCAGACCACTTCCACAGAAGTCACCTTACCTTACCCTTGTCTCTACCTTTGTGCCTATCTGTCTCTCTTACATCTGCGAATCACTCTTCTATTCCCCCCCCCCCTCTCGACTTTGTATGAACTTTATCTTCCACCCCTCTGTTAAGCCAGAAATCAACTAAATAGCTTATGATAGCTAATATAAAGCCTGCCAATTGTTATAAATAAATAAAATTTGAGCATGGATTTGTTAATTTGAGAGTAGGCAGTCCTATCGCTCTGTGATTGGCTCTTCAAAAAGAGCAACGGATGCAAAAGTCGTTGATTGAGCTCAAATAATACCCATTGTGAAATTAAACCATGCATATTCTACCAATTCAAATACCATATTTTTAATCATTTTCGAGTATATTCCCTCACGTTGCTATCCAAAAATTACTCCATTTCTAAGCATTTTTGTTTGAAGTGACAGAAAGTGGAAACTGTTATTCTAAAAGCTCCGCGTTGGGCTTTGAAAATTCAATATATTGACATGTCATAGGGAACCATTTGGCCGAACAAAATAATCTATTGGCTTTAATCATCGCATTGCAGTGAAGAGTGAGTACATTTCCTCAAATTTAATTTATTCAAACTTCCCATCAATGATATGTATATATCGTAAATGACGTATGGGCAAAATTTTTTCAATACTCATTTTAGAACAATTTATGCTGTTATGAAATAACTCAATAGTTCTAACTGCCAATGATTTCAAGATCTGATTGTCTTTATTGAGCAGTCATATTTAAATAATTTATTTATATCAAATGGCAGGCGTTTTGATGGTTATCATTAGCCCTTTAGTTGACTTCAGGCTTCACAGAGGGGAGGAGGAATATCAAAGTTAAAAAAGTAGAGAGGAGGACGGGGGGGGGACAGAAGAGTGATAAAAAAAAGATGTAAAAGAGACAGACACAAAGATAAGAAAAAGGTGAGGTGAGTACTGTGGAAGTAGTCGAATATGGAGACACAAAGGTAGAGTGAAAAAGATGAGGTGAGTACTGTGGAAGTAGTCGAATATGGACCACACGAAGTGAGAAGTCAACTGGATTAATAGACTTTTTTGCCGTATGAAAGTGATAAGTCAACTGCCGGTTAATAGACTTTTTTGCCGTATGAGTGGGTTGCCCAGGGTGCACCGCGTGGAGGTAAGTCTATCGCACGTTGCACAGGGTGTACCACGTGGAGGTATGTCTATCCCGCACCCCCTATTCAAATAGTTTGATTGCGAACACTTCTTCTTCCTCACTGTATCATTTTTCAACTTCTTATCTTATCTTCAATTGTATCCTTCAGTTTTTCGAGTTGTTCAACTTTCACATTTGAATTTATCGTTTGGTTCTGGGGCATGAGTTCAAAATACAAAATTCCTTTGAGATCCCACCAGACTGACAGCATAATCATTTTTTGGTGAATCTCTGCTTTTGATACTGTTTGGGCTGGTTGATCTTGCTTCACCCATGATCTCTTGCGAGTAACGACATTGTTATAAACTATCCACTTTTCGTCGCCAGTAACTAGGTTCTTCCTCGGAAATGAATCATTCTCATTGCGTTTCAGTAGCGGCGAATCACAGATGCTAATCCGTTGCGTCAAATGAATTTCTTTTAACTGGTGAGGGATTCATAAATCAAGTTTCTTGAAATAATCAAGGGTTTTTAATTTTTTTCAATGCATGTATGCGACACATTGAGCTTCTCTGCAATATCTCGTGTTGTGCTGTGACGATTTGAATCGATAATAGCCTTGATATGGGTTTCATCCACTTCGACTGGGCGGCCAGGTCNTCGTTGTGAATTTTTCAGTGAAAAATCACCGGAACGAAATCTTTCAAACCAATTTCGACACTGCCTTTCTTCCTCACGGCTTCATCTCCATATACGGCACATAACTTCCTTTGTGCTTGCGATGTGTTCTTGCCTTTTCGGAAGTAATACAATAAAATGTGTCGGAAGTGCATGTCCTGTTCTTTCATTTTTAAATTGGGATAAAAACAAAACTAAAGAACTAAACAAAAAATTTTTTTACTAATTAACCTAGAAGCCCATACAGTAAGAAAAAAATATAGGTTAGATGCTCTGGCCACGTTAACAAAACAAAAGAAAGTATAGAGTGAATCTGTCAACAAAAACGGCAATGACTTAGTTGCCCACCCAATATATATATATATATATATATATATATATAAAGATGAAGTCTGTTAAGAACAGTTCTGCGTCAATGACTACCTTATTCTGCCTACTTTTAGGTTTTTAAAGCTCATTTAGATTTAAAATTTCTAGAATTTTGTGAAATTTAATAGATTTAGGAATAAATTTAATAAATATAACCTTATCAATTACTCTTGCTTAAATCACTTTAAAGCTTTAAAGTAACTTCATTTCTGTTATTTCTATTCAAATTCAAGTAATTAACATAAACACATTAAATTAGAATTTATTGTTTAAGTTCACTTTATACGTTGCCTGAATATTAGGCGCAACAAGAAGGATATCTCATCTCAAGTCGCTGGTGACAAATGAATTCGCCTATTATATTCTATTAAGGGTGGCGCTTTTAATTATTAAGGAGCCTTTTAAGAAAATGAGATTTGCCTTTTTTATTGGTTTTATGTCGCGTCCACAATATGAACTAGTCATTGATTATTTTCACTGAATAGCTAAAATTTATGTTACAAGGTTAAAATAGCCGCCATTTTGTATTAAAAGAACTCATTTAATCGTAAAAATGTTCCCACCTAACCTGCTAAAATCAAAAGCCAAAATTTATGAAAAATTCTGATTCTAAATTTTGGTCTTCTATCCCTTTGCATTTGATAATTACATAATTAACTAATATAATTATCCTAAAGTTACTTTCTGTTATACGCAACATGCCTTTTATAGACAGAGAAGGGCTAGGAATGTTTGATCACTGTAACTAGGACAGAATATTCCTGCTAAAAAATGCATTTAGCATTGTATTTACCATTTTTCACAAATTATTAAGTATTAAAATGTAAATGCTATCGATTATATATTGATCGTGAATTTGTGCATTTTTCAAATATGCGAATAATTTTGCCGACACGATAAAAAGGAAAATACTGATATATATGTTGAATATAACTATTTTCCGCTCAGTAAATGATATACGTTCTAGGTTATATATCTAAAGCCCCATAAATATTTGGCCAATAAAGTATAGAATAATATTTTTGATCTTGTAATAATACATTTGGAACCTATCTTTAAAATAATTTATTCATATCAAATGGCAGGCGTTCTGATAGTTATCATTAGTTCTTAAGCTTTGACTTCAGGCTACACAGAGGAAAAGGAACATCAAAGTGAGAAAAAGTCGAGAGGGGGGAAACAGAAAAGTGCTTCAAAGACTAAGGTAGAAAAAGGTGAGGTGAGTACTGTGAAAGTAGTCGAATATGGCATACAGTGAGATCATGGCAGTTTGAAGTGAGAAGTCAACTGTCGGTTAATCGACTTTTTTGCCGTATGAATATACGTTGTCCAGGGTGAACCACGTGGAGGTAAGTCTTATGCACACCCCGCCTTTAAAATCATATGATTATCACAAATAAAACGATCACCTGAAATTTTACTTTAATTTTAACTCTTCTACCTTTCTATTATAACAAATCCTACTTAAGTTGATTAATTAAACAAATAATAATTCTTCTCAGCTTTTTATGAGGTGATATTTATCCTTAAGCCCGTTAACTTTATATGAGAAATGTTCGACCAATCAGATTAAACTTTAGAGTACTGTTCTTTGCGTTTACCAATTGCCTTCTTTGGCATTTAATATTTCAGTTTAATAAACAGCTGACTACCGAAGGACGGTTGGAACTTAGAGTAAGACATGTCCGACAGAAGACAATCGGTTGCGCCCAGTACATCATATCGGTGGAGATCTCGATCTACAGCGGTAGAGGAAGCAGATCCATCGCCCCTAACAGAAGTGAAAATATTTTCAAACGCCTTTCGAACAGCTAGTATAGCGACTGGACATCTTCGAAGGGTTACAAAGATGTTTAGTATTGATAAAACAAAGGAAGTTATCAGGGTGGCTTTGGAGGATAGTGACTGTGTAGAGTACGTCCGACTTGCTTGCGAACATGAAGACCTAGTTAAAGAATCGAAGCAACTTAGGGGATTTATTTTGGAGTTGTGTGAACGCTATGAAGCCGCCAGATCTCTGGATCCACTCAGGAGGTATAAACGAATGCAATCAATGGCCAAAACTATTGTCTTGCAGTTGAGAGTTAATGAGCCATCAACAAGTGCTGTTAATGATCTGGGAAACGGAACCTGCGATGCTAGTGGAAAAGGAAATGGAAGCCTTATTGTTGGAGACGTTCTTCAATCTACAGTAAAACAGAAAGAAATGCGCTTAAAACACGAGAAAATCGCCAAAGGTTAGTTTTGAGCTTATCAAATTTTATTGACCAAATTGAATTAAGCGAAATAATTTCCTATGAGACAGCCTATCTGATTAGTTTATTAAGAGGAAAGCAAAGTATGTGGTGGAAGGAGGCGAATTTGGCCGGAAGGGTTAATACTTGACTGTAAGTTCATAACCAACACAGTTATAAGAAAAATGTTATTTTTGAATTTTAACTTTTTTTACCGGTAATTAAAATGTCCATACAATTCCAAATATATTTTCTTGATAAGGCATAGCTGTATCATTGGTAATGGTAACATTATTTTAAGCAGATTTTGCCAAATTTAGCATTTTTTGCAAATTATCGACACCGAAATGATTATTCAGATCTTAAAATAATCATCGTCACTTAATTAAAATGCAAAGAGCGCTGATATGCGCCATTGTTAATAATTTTCAAATATCGAAATATTTCCAGACGACATAGTGTCCGATATAGTTGGGCGTTATTCAACGGTGATGCATCTGGATGTTTTCTCCTTAACAAGCAGAAAAAATTGGCCAATTCGAAAATGAATTTTTAAATTAGATTAAAAGAGGGTTGTCCTATTTAAGGAAAAAAATTCCACCTGACTCAGAAGTCAAATTTATTTAGATTTGAATTCTATGAGTGAATGATTCAAAAAATCCTTATACTATATTTCCGGTATTCAAAAAATCCAGTGAACTATCTGCCTAATTTTTGCCATTCAAGTGCAAATTGTTTTTGAGATCATACTTATTTTTAATTTAAATGCTAAAACAGATTAATGTTACAAGAATATAATGATTTTTGTTTGAATAAAGTATCACAGTTTTATATGATGAAGTGAACTTTAAATATAAGAGAATTGAATAAATAAATAAAAATTCCAAATTGAAATTTGACGAAGATTTCACACATTTTATTCATAAAGCCTACATTAAGATCGTATTTTAAACGACAAGTTCCGTTTATTAAACAGTTAAATCATAATGCTAATTATAAATTCAATGGTCTTTTTTAAAAAATCAACATTTTTCAGTATATCAATCAAAGCAACCGCAAAATTAAAAGCAATTTGTTAATTTTTCAATCAAAACATCGCAATTTCGAATGCCAATTAACAAAAGAGGATTGCGCAGTGACCATTTGAAACAAATGAGCAAATATTAATTGACTCATAAAAAATGACCGTAATTCGCTATTCAAATTATACCTTTTTCGACCTTTGAATTACTATAAAAACAATTGATATATTATTCAAAACGTATTCAAAGGTTTCATCAAAACCCCAAATTAGGTATTAAAATTTTTCAACTTTAATTAGGGAAGAAAGTATTATATATATGCCTTTGGGTCGTTAGTTTGAGCATAAATGAAAAACCTATCGCAATATGCAATATGCTAACCAGAGCAATAAAACATATTTTGAATTTAATCCCTATATTTATATAATTGAAAATATTTGTTCATTTTAACATAATTAGTATTTTTTAGAAACCTCATATAAAATGCGTTTTTTAATTACACTGCCTTCACGGTTAATATATCATCTTAAAATTATTTTAACGATAATAATAAAATAGGTAAATAGATTAATAAAAAAATTAGATAAGCTTCTTACTTGAATCCGCAATTTTTAATTTCAGGAAGTTTTTATATTTTATTATATTTTTAAGCCTTATATGTTAGCAAGTTATTTGAAATGAATTATACCATAACGTAGATCTCAGCATTAATAGCCGTTTAATTACATATTCCTTAAAACGTTTTAATCAAATTTTTTTATCTTGATAATAACTACTTATGAAATTTCAGTGCAGTTTGTACAGATTATATAAATTATAAATTTAAAAATTACACAATAATATTAGTTGCACAAATAATGAATAAAGTTATATTTTCAACAAGCTGTACAGTTAGTTGCTTGCATTCCGAGACAAGGAAGTAATCAGTGTTATCCGGAAACCAACCCGTTTAGTGAATATGAGTGAAATAGAAAAGAAAATTAAAATAATATTTATTAATAAAACGCTTAGAAATAATTGAATAGCAGTAGATATTTGATTGAAATTTCCAATAAATTTAATTTTTCTTTAATTTTTTTCGGTTATTTAATTCCATATTTTTTAAAGCTTATTTTGAGGAAATCCAATTACATTATTAAAAACTATGATCCAGGTGGGTAAAAATATTCGAATTTTGAATTGTGAAACAGTGAACAACTTTCGCTTCTGTCACAATAAAAAGAATGTTTACTCCAATTTTTGCTTATTTTCATGCGAAGGATCCATTAAATTTGCAAAAATATCTTCTAATGCATTATTTGTTATTTAATATATATATAAAATTTTTTATGAACATTAACTTTTTGCATAAACATAACATGAAAATAACAATACTTTTGATTTTCTATTCTTCTTTGCTTTTTCGGTTTCCTTTAACTTCTGTACTCAATATCTGAAACATTAGCTGTCTTCATGCTTCCCAGTATCTCTGGCTTTCCATCCTTGTCTTAAGGGATGGACGCCGAATCAGGTGGGTCTTCTCCATTTCCTCCTGTAGGTTACATAGAGGACATGTGGGTTGAGTGTATACTCCTAATCTGAAAAGGTGCTTTGCCAGGCAATCATGCTCGATACGTAGTCTAAACTCAGCAACGGCTTCGATTCTTGGCCAGTCGGCTATTTCGGAGAGTGCCACTATCCACTGTTTCTCCTTTGTTCGAGTTTTAAGTTCGTTACACCTTGAGGTCTGGAATTCTCTCCTGATTAAGGCCTTCATTGTATGGAAAGTCATCGGCTTGTCTATGCCTTGCAAAATTATGACCCCCTTCTTAGCAAGTGCGTCAATAAGCTCATTGCATCTAATGCCACAGTGACCAGGAATCCATTGTTGGACCACTGTTTTGTTATTCTCTCTCATGAATTGCTATTAATTTACTGCCCTATATGTACCCCTCCCTCCCTTGGGGGAAGCTGAAGTCAAAGTTTAAGGGATAATGATAAATATCATAAAGCCTCCCATTTGAAATATAAATATAAATATTTTATTTCTTTCTTCATATCGCTCGAATTGAATTGAAGTAGAGGAAGCTAAATTAAATATATTTACAGAGGATTTTGTAGTGCTTCGAAAGATCTATATATTCCATTGAAACATCTAAATCTCATACTGATTTACTGCATTTGAATTTTAGCTCTGTCAACGGAGCAACTTCAGTCAGATATCGCCAGATTCAATGCTGAAATAAAGGACCTTCACAATCGCATAGATGCAATCACTGAAGCCATCAACAATATTGATGTGATGTATAATTCAACGAAAACGGAACCGTTTGTTAAGCGATATGCCATTCTGAAAGAGGTCATTAAAGATGTCCAAAAGTTTGCTGATCTAAATGCTGATTACACCTGATTCAGTTCAGACCCGTTTTGCAGGAAAAATGATCCAACAAGTCTTTTTTTTCCTTCAATTAACTAGCATTTATGGATTATAAAAGTATGCATACTGTATAAAATAAAAGCAATGAAATGTCTATTTACCGTATCATAATGAATTCTTTTTAATTAAATTGTCTTGCACATCTTTTCTTTTTAAAGTTTGTTATCAATTATATTGATTTAGTTTGCAAAATGTAGAACTTTTTTGAATATAATAATTAGTTTTAGATGAAAATACGAAATGTTAGTATTATAAAAAATTATACAAATTTTAATTGTAACATATAGAAATTAAATGTATTTCTCTTTAATTTGAAGGGTGTTAAATCAAAAAGTAAAATATTTCAAAAAATAGTCTAGTTTAAGGAAAAAATCCAATAATTTATATAAAAAGTAGGATTCGTTGTCTAAACAAAATTTACATCTACTACTCGCATGCATTAAATAATTAATGATTCGAATGAGCTCACAATTTTAGAAAAAATCAACATTGTATCTTAACTACTACAAATTTTATTTCAATCTTTAAATACTCTATTGTACAATTAGCTTTATCGCTCTGATAAATAAACCATTTCTAATTTTGGGAAATATGCCAATCAAAAATGATTAAAGATTAAAATTAAACTAATACTGACAGCAAAAACACTGAAACTTTAATTATTTAAGAACAGTTTCTTAGAGTTGAACAGGCATTTGTAAATTATTGGATATTGAAAAGCGAATTTAATGCATAAATGCATCTTTGAGGATTTCAATTTTAATTTTAACCTATTGTGAACAAAGATAGATTAAATTTTATTCGGATCTTATACTTATTTTCATCAAATTAACAGGTGTATCAGCATTAAGAATTCTTAAATAATAGGGCGATTGAAATGAGGCAATCGAAATCTAACAGGTGACGAACGGGATATCACAGTAACCTTGGGAATAAGGTCAAGGTAAATGGAAATTGACGTTAATTCCTACCAACAAAGATCTCTTTTATTTATTGAGATGCGTATTTCTATGTGTAACATTGTATATATATAAGTAAATTTCATTCTCTCGTATATTCGCAATAAAAAAACCAGTTTGTTTTAAATTCAAAGCTGCTGAACAGTTTATACTCGTTATGTACCAGTAGGCCAGTCGTATGGTGAATTGCAAAATATAAATTACTTAATTGGGTTTAATTATTTATCAGATATTGGTCAATTGGAATAAAAAAATTCAACTGTACTAAACCGAATCGAAACTTTCAGGACATATTTGCACGCCAGAATTTATCATTTACTGAACTTTCTGTTAACTGATTTCAATTACTTTCACATATTCAGAATTTTAAGCTAAATGTATTAATTTGAATAATATTACTTTTCGTCTAATTACATAAGGAGCACATTGGGCTCTTTTTCCTATCAAATATACAGTTTAAGTCTAAACAAATTTATTTTTGGTGCCTAACCTATCTCAGTTACTTATCAGAGAATTCGAAATAATTATTTCAGTTGATTAGTTGAGTTAAATTCATTATTGACATGATAAGACGAATTCCTTGATTATAAATAGTTTTGTGTTGTTAATGAAGAGGTCATTTGAACTTGTTACGACGGATCAATCCGCTCCCATTTATTCAAGATGATTCATTAATCTGATTCACAAGACGTGTGAGTCAGTGTTATTCGAATTAAGGGTATTTCCATGAAAACATATGAATAAATTAAATTAAATGTAAATAATTCATGCAATCTTAACTAGCAACGGATTTATTGCTTCAAATAAATTTTAATATTTGGTTTTCTTCAATTAAATCCCACGAGAACATGCATGTTTAAAGTTTTGAAGCTGTTGCTATATTCTCATAAAGAACTTTGACATATTTTTGCATAAAATTCTAAAATACCAGCACTGGTGTCTAGTAAAACATTTTCCCTTGCAAAAATAAGAAAACACCAAGTAAAGTGAACATAAATAGTACATCCTAACAACAGTTGAAGAATTACTGGTATTCAAATGATTTCAAATTCGATCAATATTATGTAATGGAGAGCAATAAATATAATTACGAATTGGGTGTGCGATAGACTTATCTCCACGTGGTCACCCTGGGCAACGTATACTCATATGGCAAAAAGTCTATTAACCAGCAGTTGACTTCTGTCTTTAAACAGCCAACACTCCACTGTATGTCATATTCGAACACTTCCACAGTACTCACCCCACCTTTTTCTACCTTTGTGTCTGTCTGCCCCTTTCACGTCTGTGAATCATTATTCTATCCCCCCTCTCGACCTTTTGCCACTTTGGTGTTCCTCTTTTTTTCTGTGAAGCACAAAGTCAACTAAAGGGCTAATGCTAACTATCAAAACGCCTGCCATTTGTTATAAATAAATAATTACGAATGTTGGAGACATATTTGTTAAGCCAGAAATGGTATCATTTGATCAAGACATAAGATTACGACTTTTATTAGAAACTGAAAAAATGGGACACTATTAGTAACTGAGAAATATGCATTTCGTCGAAAGATTATTATCACAGATGGAAATAAATCAATAATATTTCCTATTCAATATAGTTATGACTAGTAAATAGTGTTTGGGTCATGCAATGAGTTCATTCCTGCTCGTAGACGTGGATGAAATAAGGAGGCCTTTTGGCAATACAAGCAACTCATTATGAGCAATAAATTTCAAGAGATCGTATTTTGTTAAACTTTTATATTAAAAAAAGAAAATGAGATGTGCAAAGAAGAAACAAAATTTACCTTTTAAAATATTACCAACATTTTGACCGAATAAAATTGTTTGCCAATATGCTAGACGTAATTTGACGTCATTCTTTAATAAATTCAATAATATAAAATTTCCAATGTTATTTGTTGATGATCTTAATTCTGATTCCATATTGAATAATAGGAATTAAATAAGCAATTTTAAACTTTTAAAATTAAGCTCGCACACTGATGAAAAATAGGCAAATTTAAAGTATGCAAAAAAATACCAAATAGAGAGAGGGAGAGTGTATCCATGATTTTCAAGTCTTTAAAAAGGAATTGATTCAAGCCCTATAATTTGATGTTATCTGCATTTGATCTATTTTCCGAGCGTTCCATAGATTGGCAGAAAATAGTTATCTCAATTCAACACACACGGCGATTTCTTGAAATTTGATTTTTAAATGGAGGCTATTTATGTGCGCTAAGTTCTCCTGCAGATACAGTTTTTTGCCTATTTTCTTTAGGATTTATCTAATGAATTTTCGGCAGATAAAAGCAAATAAGTTACTTAATTCACGTTAAAAACTACAATACATACAAATTATAATCTTTAACTTGAAATATCTGCGCTTCCAAGTGGATGATATTTATTGATTCAGAGAAAAATTATGAAAAAATATTTATCCCAAACATTTCTAGGAGGCAAAGCCAACCAAAATTATGATTGATGAGTTGTGTTCGCCCATGTTTCCGCGGCTAATTTTCATACAACTCGATCTTCGTTAGTATTAGCTCCAATCGTTATATAAGAGGGGCTTTAAAAGTTGATAATGAGAAGTTTAGCAAAAGTTTCTTTGATAATTTCCCAATGGACGTCGTTAAAAAAGCATGATAAATTTGAAATTTATTTTTATTGAGGCACAAAAATGTTGCGTTTTAAAAAATTATAGCTTTTACAGCAGATTTAAATGTAATGTAAAGTATTATATCTGTCGCAGAAAAGCCGAAAAAATAAATGACAGTAGAATTAAATTGTCCAAATATGAGTTATGATTGTGACGTTAAAGGAGTGGATTTCAAATAAAATAACCTAATGAATTAAAAGAGGTAATTAGTAACTCATGAGTAACTGTGAATTCTCTTTAAAGGATGTCACTTCAAACTTGAAATATTTAAAATGACGAAAATGGGATAAAGGTTTTTGAAAAGATTAACAAACATTACGTCAGTATTCGAAACTTTACCTCAAAAGTCATATTCGACAACCGGAACGTCCTGTGTAATTAAGGATTCATGACTTTTCCTTTTTTGCCATGGAATAATAATCACATCGTCCGCATTGATTCGTTTAGTAAATGATTAACAATTTATTTCGTAGCTTCTAATATTTCTTTGTGAGTACTGAAGTAAAATACCTAACTGATGTTAAGCAATTAACATTTTTTAATTCAAATAATGCGTCTTTAAGCTCACAATTTAGTTTATTCAAAACCTCGATTAGCTTTCTTTAAAAATAAATGACATCTCAAACTTAAGGGAATTAAAATGTATTCTTAAAATAACAGAACTGATTTCAAAATTCAGTTGCATATTTCAAAATGAGCTGTCTAGTTAAATACAAGCTTCATAAAAGGATAAAGGTGATTTAACAACGACGATTTAAATTTAACTTTCAAACAAACTACAAAATTTAAAAATTAATTATGAACAGGTTTAAAGTTTGCATGGCTTGTCAACTTAAAGGAGTTAACACTTTAAAAGCATGTTATAAAATCAATCTATTTTTCAGATTTTGAAGTCGTTGAACGGACAGATAGACGGATCGTACACACACTCTTAGTGTCAAAAATATGAAATCTTTCATTTCTAGCTTCCAATTATACTAAACTACAAGAATTAAATCTAATATTAATAAACTTTCAACAACTAATTATATTATCCATTAAATCTGCCGACGGAAATGCTATTCAAATTGTAAATCTAGACTTCGATCGTCTGCTATTTCGACAACAATTAAACATTAAAAATATTTTCCGCAGAAATTTTCTGAATCCATCTTCAGGGTAATTTAATAAAATTGATAGCTTGCAGTTTGAGTGTTGCTGTAGCGAGTTATCACACCAAAAAATGAGAAAAATTGAGCGGAATATGAGGACATTATTTGTACAATTTAAGTGCAAATACGTACACTTTTACGAAACGTTATGGCTAATATTTCACTCGATTTTCCTATAACATAAACTCATATTTTGTAAACGGGGTGTGCGATA